TGAGGGTAAGACCACTTTCCAAAATTGCTCGGGTTATTGGGTGTTTTTTTCTGATCATATAATTTTTCTGTTGATCCTACGTACTTTTGAATATCATAAATTATTTACTATATGATGTTGTACGTTTATGTATGTGACAATGTACATTCAGCTTACTCCATATAGAAATTCGATTTATTACTCACCAGGATCTCTACCAGCCTACCCTTAAATTGAATTATTTTAGGGAAGATTTGAATATATTAATCTATGATACCTTGGGCGTGGTCAAATAAATCAATCGAAAGGGTTTGGCCTTCTGAGTCCAAAACTGTGATTAGAACTCAAATCGGTCAAAAGATGACGGAGCTATGAGCTAAAAGTTTGTACTTGAAAAAAAAAAAAGCATAAAACTCAAGAGCCATTCTATGAGCCGCGGTTAAAAAGTAATATTTTATCGCTCGTGATAAAGTTGATTAACATTTTATTATTTATATTTTCGTAGTTGTTTGATGATTACTTCTAAGACGTTTTTGATCTTGGGTTATAGACAAGAGTAAAGTTAAAAAGCACCAAGAATTTCAATGAAGTAGTGTATCAGGTAAGCCTTACGTTACTTTTGTGTATTAGGATTCCTGCTCTCTCATATTGTCGTTAGGAATATGCGCATGTAGAAGTGTACAATTAAAAAAATTATTGATTTGTTAATTTAGTGTCTTAATTGATGAAAAAGGTTTGTTTTGCACTTTATTAATGATATTATCGTTTTAAGTATAACTTATTGATTTTAAACAGAAATCCTAATATGGACAAAAACAATGAAACAGTTCGAAAAAGAAAGCGTTGGTTAGCAAAAATTAGGATAGCTGAAACACAGGAAAGAAAAAAAAAGATTTCCACATTCATTGTGATTTAGGGCCTTTTCTGAACGTTATTTATTAATAGTGAATTTTTTGTTTTATTTTAACTTTCACAATTCCAAATATAGCGGTTAGAATTAAAATTATATCGTTGGAAAAAGCTTTGTACAGTTCTTTATGTTTTCAATAATGAAAATGTTGCATCTTAAAAACATCATTTCTGTTTTGTGAAAATTGTCATACTTTGTTAGAACATAAATAGAAAAAAATTACGCTAAAAACATATTTTCCCGTCTTATGACGGGTGTATTAACTAGTTACGTAAACACGAGTGACTGTCTGTGTCGAAAACAACTTAAATATAGTTTCAACACAATAGATGGCGACACAATACATTATTATTGATGTTTTTCATCTTTGGTAAGAGATTATTTAGAATTTAGTCAAAACATTTAAAAGCATTTTTTATGATTAGTTATACCTTCGTAAATTGTTTGGGGTCAAACACAAAGCTACACAAAGGGCTATCCGTGTTCTGTTCACCACGGGTACCGAAACCCGGTTTCTAGCGTTGTGTTGCATGAGCAAGGTCACGTGACTAGTATCACGCCACG